GACTTTATCCAGGAAAGTCACTGTCGCATTCTTCTAGTAGAAACACAATGTATAACTCATTTGTTTTCTAATAGCCTCATTAGCAGTCATCTCACAAGTACCTGACTGTGATTGCATGAACCCCTTCCATTTTGGTAACATTGCTTTTATTGTCAAATTTACTTCATTATCTCTATTGTCTTTTCTTAACCAGGAGAACCATATCTGTGACTGCATTCTAATAATGCCATCATAAAAATGAACATCTGTAATAAATTGAACTGATGTTGATATAATTACGTGGTAATTAGGTGTGTGTGGTATCAACGTTGTGACGACTTTTATTTAACTTTACATCTACCAAGTGACAACAGACCTACCAAGTGACGCCCTCACCATGTTTCATAATTCATATTAATATTTAATCGAATTTTGCGTAGTTTAGTAAAGGGGGGGGGAAGGTATGGTTAAATTTATTTTAATAATAATATAATTGTACCATACCTACTCTCTTTACTAAACCTAAGCTTCACAAACATTTCTATGTCAAGTCACAGGATATTCAACTTTTATTAGTCCCCATTCGGACACAGTCCGAAAACGGGGACTTATGGATTGACCTCTGTGCGGCTGTGTGTGTGCGTTCGGACCTGTATCTTAGACCTGCCTGGACCAATTACATTCAAACTTCACACATACAGCATACATTAGCCATATCTCTGACTTGCTTTGACAAATTATGTTCAAATTTCTAATAATTATTATAGTAATATAGCTGGAATATAACCATGTCAGGAATATGATTATGATGATTGTTTAACATTAAAATGATTGACATTTGTATCTGATCATCAAACAAGTACTTGTCCATATTGAGAGATACTGCTCTGGAACAGCATTAATTAAAACGAAATCAGCCATTTTGAATACATGTATATATCTATAACAAGATGTATAATGAATATATAAAATTTGAATATAATCAGTCAAAGCATGTCAGAGATATGGCTCTAGAAGCCCATTCATTAAAACAAAATGGCCACCAGTCAGCCATTTTGAATCCGATCTGAAAAATAAAATGACGTGCATCAGGAACCTGTAATGCCTAACATATGTACCAAGTTTGAACGAAATCCATCAATAAATGCCAAATCTATTTTTGTAAATGCACTGAGCTACATGCCCCTCGTTTTCAGTCACCTTTGACTTTTGTCCACCAGGGAGTTGTTCCTTTGGTCAACATTGTTTAGCCAATCAGTCTTTATTTTGCACTCTGCACGTAGCGTCACCTCTTTTCTTAGAATTTCTTTGTTCCCCATTCATTCATAGTTTGCTTCGCTGGCTCTATTTCGCTATCCCACCACCTACCCCTTCATCCTACCTGTGTGGCTCCTTTTGTCGAGTGGCTGGGCTAAGGATTCCATCCTGCCCCCCCCCCGTTAAAGGGAACGGCGGCCATTTTCATGGCCACCCCCCACATTTCAGCTCTTGCAGGAAATCCTTGACCTTGTGTGACCCTGGTCCTGCGTGACCTTGGTACCCTACGATCGAAGGGGCCCCCTGCCTAGCCTTTTTCCAGTCTTATTTTTTATAGTTTTGTATTTTGTAGTTAGTGCAAATTTTATTCAGTTTTCTGTTTGCAATAAAATATGTGTTTTTTACTCTACTTTTGTTGTTGTGTGCATTTACAAAATGCCAGAAATGCTTGATATTTGATGATTTTTTAGCACAAAAATGGCCACCATTCGGACACTTTGAATAGGATCGTCAAACCAATATATCTGTATATATCTATGACATGATGTATAATGAATATTTAAAATTTGAACATAATCAGTCAAAGCAAGTCAGACATATGGCACTAGAACCACATTCATTAAAACAAAATGGCCGCCAGTAGGCCATTTTGAATCTTATCTGAAAAACAAAATGATGTGCATCAAAGTCCTATAATGTCCAATGTATATACCAAGTTTGAACAAAATTCATCTGTAAACAACCAAGAAATGCTTAATTTTGATGCTTTTTCAGTACAAAAATTGCTGCCATTCGGCCATCTTGAATCAATCATGAAACATATTGATATGCATATGTATAATGTCATGTATGATGTATGTGTGAAGTTTGATTGTGATTGGTCCAGGATACAGGTCCGGATGCACGCACGCACAGAAGCATGGACACACGGAGGTCAAAACATAAGTCCCCGTTTTCGAACTGCATCCAAACGGGGACTAACAAAACTATATATCTTAAATTCGATAACTAACGGGAACTGTGCAATGCATGGCTTGTTTAATTAAACTTGAATTAAAACGCAATTCTATGTTGAATTCTATTGAATTGAGTTTAATTAAAGTCCAATTAAAATGCAACCCTATATAGGAACGCGTTTTAATCAAGTTCATATTGCAACTATATTGAAAGATAATCCAATGTATGTCGTCACAATGATGATACGACATGTACGTGTGTGTGTTTGTAGGCAAACGTATAACCTGTATTAAGTAACTTTACATTCATTTGAGTACGGAATTGAGAATAACTAGTGGCATACCATTAGGTGAATCCATTTGTATCAGTCTATCATAATATTTGCAGTGTACTTGTCCATTTATGTACTCTTGGTCATTACCAATGTAATAACGGTACCATATGCCGGATTTTAAGGCTTGTCCATCAACACGGCACTCACCATCAAATACCCATCCATTTTTGTCTTTTCTGGGGTTGAATGTACCAGGTATTGCAATTAGAAACGCGTATATACATTTACTATTACTTGTTGTATGACCACAAGTGATATAATGCGGTAATAGAAATGTTCAAATAGTATACTACCATGTGCTACATAAAAACACATGAACAAAGTATGGTTAACATTGAAAGAATAAACTTATAATGACTAGTGTCAGAAAAAATGTCCACCATTCTCGAAACAATTATAAAGAGTTCAAAATTGCAGAGTGTCATTCAGCAGCTTGATATTTAAATTATAGCTAATGAGAGCAATGAGCTGCTAGGTTGTTGAACAATATTGCTATTGTTAGGACCAGTTTTTTAAAAATTGGTTATTAAATAAAAAGAAAGATTTGTTAAAAAGATAAGTTTCTAGGGACACACAATTACTATATTTTTATTCCAAGTATTAGTAAATACAAATTGGCATTAGATCTTTGGATATACACATAATTAATAAGTTTACAAAATCAGCCAATAGTTTATTCAAATATCTTTAACCCTGTAGACAGTATCCAGTTAGTAGTAAATATGCAGTTAAAATAAAATAGAATTCCTGACTTTTGAGTTTTTACCAGAACACCACTAGAGAATGTAAATACCTGGATGACAGTGGTGTTCATCTGGAGTGTGGTTGAAATAATATATAAAATTTACAAAGAACAGCACCTGTGTATGTAACAGTTTTGTACAGTGCGACTGTCTTGCTCGATATTTCAGTTGTCAGGCTGTAAGGGTCAACATTTAGTTCATCAGCAAATTATAAAAGTTCAATAAGATCTCAACTAGATCTCAACCACTTCTTTATCTATACATGCCTTCAATGCTATGCATGTACTTCACAACACACACAGCTCTCATAATATGATACAGGATCTCTGATATTGAAAATTCCTGATATTTTTTTAAGTACATACAATGGCATTGTAATATTACACCATGGCCAAAAGCCTTTAACTTGCTTAGTTAGCAATGCGATATCCCAGCTGCTTGTAGGTATATGCTCATCAAACAGCTGCCAGTTGTGTACGTTACATCTTATGAGATACTGCAAAGGCTCCCATTGTGTGCTTCGCACACGGGAGTCAAAAACTAATATCAGGTAAATAGACATTGTCCAATAAAAAATGTGACAATAAGAGTACTAACATAGGGTAAAACAGGGCAAACAATTGTTCTTACTTTTTATTTTCCAATACCAATATTCGATATGGATCATCTATATTATTGCCACTCCACATACGTATGTTTAGCTCATGTTTTTTAACTTTAAGGTTAACTTCTTCAGCAACCAGTGCACAAAAATGGATTGTACACTCTTTTGAAACATGGTTCTCTCTGTATTAAAAAAAAACAAACCATGAAGGTATTTAGTACATGAAGGCCGGCCAAATTTAAAACGCCTGTGTGATGTGAGGTGCAATTAGCATAGAGAAAGATAGCAAATAAAAAGAGATGAGGAAAATGAAATAAAAGAATTACGTACCCTATGATTACATTGTTTGATGTTGTTCTGCCCTGAATATGGAAGTAATACATTAAATGTTATTGTTAAATAAATACTATATTGGATAAAGAGTAGATTTTTTGCTAGCCGCAGCCAAGCAGTCTATATCATGAACTACGAGACTGTCACTTATATTATTGTCATCAACATTTTGTTGTTTCATGTGCGATAACCGATGCGTGCTTAGAATGTTTAGTTGCTCTCAAACATGCATGACTGTATCGCTTTACACTGACCAAGACATGCAGATGACAAATTGTTTATGAATAACAATTTACTTAAATAATTTATTAGTTAGTGGATGTACTAAAATCAAAAAGTGTATTTTTTTGCATTGCTGATGGTATATTCTAAAGGAAAAAAAGTTTGTATAAAAGGTTCGTGCCAGTCTTCTTAAAGAATAGTTTGATATATGTAAATTATCAATAGCCAACCAAATACACAGTTGTGAGTATGTACATGTACTAAACAAAAACATGAAAATAACACTGGTCAGAAATTCAGGTGTGCCTCAAAACTCACTCCGCACGGCAAGTGCCTCATCACTGAATACAAACGTGATCCTCACACTCACTATCATCAGATTTAAATTGTGTAGTTAACCCGGTTCTGTAGTTATAAGTTGTTTATGTACACACCTAATCGTGGATCTATATGCCAGTAGTAGTCCTAGTTCATACAACAAGAACATATACATTTGTATCTTAAACAATTCATTATAAACTGAACAATTTAAATTGTTATTGACATGACACATCCCCCGTAGTGAAACATAACTGGACTAATGTATGTTTCATGTATGTAAAGGTTGATTTGATCATCTTTCAGAATTGCTTGATTTTGTGGCCAATCTAAAAAAACAAAATTACATGCACCAACGTACCATATTATGTACAATGTATGCACCAAGTTTGAACAAAATGTGTTTATTTGCGATCAAGGTCCGGTCCGGAATAGCAGGAATCCCCTTATTTTGATGGACTACTGTGTACAAAGCACACAATGGAAGACTTTGCGGTTAGTGTGTCTGTCAGTGTCTGATATCTCAAGAATAAATTATCAGAACCATTATTTGGGATAATGCTCAGAGCTGATTAGTTTTTAGTTGAAATTCGTGCATATTACCTAATTTGCATATTAATTATCAATTTTAAGAATTTTCACTTGTTTTTCATGTACCATTAAACAGATTAAAACTTGGTACATATATACTACATTCACGTTACGGGATCTCAGCACATGCCGAAATTTTTAATCTGTTGTGTTTGCAGAGGGATTACAGCAGTTGCATTCACGTTATTCAGGACTCACTTAGGACTGACTCGGCTCGTGCCGAAATAACGTCTTCATGGGAAACGATATGCATATGAAGATAATAATAATTGTTATAGTGAAATTATATCCATTTGTTGCTATGGTGTTTATTACGAGCCAACATGCACATGAACAGCAAAGAAGATTTGAAACACAATTATTTTTTTTTCACGTCAATGTAGTATTGCAAAAAAATATCGGTTACAGCAGCACATAAATATGCGTCACAGATTACTACAGCATCCGACGATATACTAGTATACATCTGAATTTCCTGTCATCGTCATTTCATACTAGTATGAATCAGTTTATGTTTTTTTAAATTAACACCAAGGGCGTTATTTCGGCTTGTGCCGAGCGTTCAGGCAGCAATCTCGGCACGTGCTGAGTTTCGGTCCTAAGCATCTACCGTGACCGAGATCGAGTTCAATTCGGCACGTGTCGACTCGGCCCTGACCGTTCACACACAAGCTTCGGCACGTGCCGACTTGGTTCTGAGTCTCTGCACGTCCCGAGATCTCTAACGTGAATGCCACTACATGCTCTGGGATAATGTGAAACCCAGATTAGTTTTTGGTTAAAATCCCGAGCTTATTAATGACCTAAAAATTTGCATACTAATTAAATAGTCTTCAAAAAGAACCATTCAACAGATTTCAATGAAACTTGATTCATAGATGCTTCAGGTTTATTTACTCAAACCTTATGAAGGCATCTAACAATGTGATGTGACTAATGTATTAGATGGTCATGTGAGCTCAATAACATGCATAACTGTTACATTTTAAGTACTGTTGCAGATAGGACCATGCAACTGATGCTATAATTTTGTTGTCTGACAAGATACAAGACCAAAATATCAAACATCATATATGGTCATTATTTCATGATTGAATATTTAAAGTTAAACCATAGCTACTTGGAACCACCCTGATCAACTTTGCAGTTATATTTTTAAATGCTCTATTTGAAGTACATGTTCTTACAGTGAATATAAATAACAAAGACAAGTCTATGGTGAAAAGAAGACTTATTTCAATGAGATATTTTTAGCTCTACATTAGCTGCCATTCAACTGTTATAAATAGGAATGCTAATTAAAACGAGTTAACTTACGTATGTATTTCAAGATGTATAATGCATATATTAAGTTTGAATATTCAAATTATATATTAATATTGAGATATATGTACATACGAATCATGGAATATTTACACAATTTGTTAGGTGACCTGATAATTTATGAACAAATTAATAATATAACAGGTAGTTATTGGACTAATATCACCAGTTAAGATAATAACGTGATGTGAAAGTTATCTTACTTCTGCTTTCCCTTTTGCTCCATTTGATTCATCAGAAGTATTTGATTTTTCAACAGATTTTAGACATTCTGAAGTACTAGATTTTTGAGAAACTGCACCTTTTAAAACACTCACATGTTTTGTTTTCTTTGTCTGGAATCAAACAAACGACATTAGCACAAGTACAACTGTATGTTTTTCAAAATTATGGTCAAGTACAGGTAGAACAATTAAATGGATGGCAGTTTCAAATAATAACAACTATTGACATGGCTAAGTCATACTTATCTTACCACCATTTAATGATAAAAGTATCAACTCAGTGAACCAATGGTTCATATCTAGCACCAGTTGGGTGTCAATAAAATCGATAACCTGGGGCTCCAGTTTCCTTGATTAGTTCTTTTTTTCGATGTTTTGGCACTAAGGAATCTACTGTAGATTTTAGTGAGGTAGGTGGGAGTAAAGTATGTATGGACCCTACGATTCAAAATTCAAAATCATGCTCTTGGGGCTTAACATGACTGTGAAAATGAGATGGTAAACTTAGGGAATTTACCTATCCAAGCAGAATGTGGCCCTAAACTGACAGCCCTCCAATGTTAGGTTTTTCATTCCCTTGCACTATGTAATTATAGGTATAATCAATGTTTTACCTAATGGATAATGGCTGTGCATGGACTGGGTGAACCCCATCATAAAACTCAAAATTGGTCCTGATCTTGGAAAGCAATCTCATAAGACCAAAAAAAAAAACTTATGTTGCCCTCAAGTCTGAAAATTGAAAAATTGGGTCGGTTGGTCAGATTTTTTTAAAACTTAATTTAAAATTTAATAGTAGATCCAGCTTTTGCTGTCATGCACACAGCAAATATGTTCGCCATGCTCGCTACCGATGTACACATGTACGTGCACACGATGACTAACCCGGAAGTGAGAATACTGACAGTGCTAAAACAACGTGCAAAAGCCGTTGTTTTGTTTGTGATGTAAGCGGATGAGAGTTTTAATATAAAATGTCACGTTTTGTAAATTCAATAAAATTTTGTGCATTTCATGTATTAAAAATTATATTTACTACAACAAACATATTGTTTTTGATTCAAAATAATTTTTTTATTTAATTTAGAAAATACTTGGTGCGGTGATATTTTTATATTGTGCACAACTATCCGTCGAATTGCA